CCTCCAGAAAACAAATAAAATCAATATAAGAGACAACATTTTGCGGCAACTATAATAACAGCATGAGTTTACAGCTTGGGGAAAGTTCTTTACAAACCGTTTAGACAGCACAGGGAGAGGGGGAGGGACAGAGGGGAGGGACGGGGTACCGGCACAGCCTTGTTGATTTAAAACACCCCCAAAACCACCAAGGCAGGGGGAGGGGCAGGGCACCTGGGGGGGGAGGGAGGGCTCTCTCCCCCTGAAGCCACTGTCCTTCTAGGTGTAAGGGCAGAAAGCCCTAGCTGGTAGTGAGCTGCTCGTGGTGGACACACAATAGATCTATTCTTAGCAGAGGTACCTTTGAAGGAGGGAAAGACTTTAAAAAAAAATGGCTAAGCCAGACCACCTTGGGTTCCAAGCATTCTAGGCAGCAGTAGTGAGCATCCCAGACTTTCCGGAGCTCAAGTGTTGGAGGGGGAGGGAGTCTCAACAGAACAGGGAGCAGCAGATCCCAGGCTAGGGACACAGGGTCTGCACCCCAATTGCACCTCCCTCCATTCTTCCCACCCCCTTCCCTCATCCTCACCTCCTCCCTCCAAAATCTCCCCAACACCTGCACACTGAGGCAGGCTCGGACACCCCCCCCCCCGCAACAAGAGACTTTACAGAGCTTTTTGTCTCCCTTCATCACCTACCCCCCCAAACCTGGCCCCAAAGACTTTTCCCCCAAGTTATCGGTGGGTGTTGTGTGTGGATATATTTTCTCTTAAGTTTGATTTTTATCTCTTTAGAAACGGTCTGAGACTAGCGGGGGCTGAGGGACTTTGACAGAGAGGAGAACAAATCGCTGACAAAGAACCTTTTACGTTTCACCGACGTTGTTAGGACAACAGGCCGGAATGTCTCAGATAATAACGCCCACTTCAAAGATTCCTCAGCTCAATGGAGAGCGTCCATCCTTTTTATCCAGCCACAAGGGCTGGCACTAAAGACAACTCCACTGTTTGGTTTTTTTTTTGCCACCGTGTTTATTTTTCCCCTATTCACTGGGGCACTTGTATAAAATAAACAACAAGACAATTAAGAGAACGTGGAGCTCTAACTTTCCTGCCATCTTCTCCCATCTCCTTGGCCTTGGCTTTTCGAGTGTGTGCCGGGCGGCGCAGGCCCTAGGATTTTCACTCACTTTTTTCCCCCCTGGAGAGGAAAAGCATTTGGGGGGGCGGCCGGAGAGACTTTCTGAGTTGGACAGACCAAGGGACAACAGAGCTGGGAGGCACCTTGAAAATATCCCCAGGACACGGCCTGAGCAACTCAGTCTCCTCCTCCTCATCCCAGGGAGAGATTCGCGCCCCCCCCCAGCAAATCCTACACCACCCCAAAGCCTGTGAGGGGAGCCCTAAAAGTCATTGGTCCTGGCCCTGGAGGGGGTAGAGGGGGGTGCAGCCGGGCCGTGGGTTCTTCAGCTGCCGGGCAGGAAGTCTGCGCTGGGGAGCCCGGTGACAGTATGAAATGGCGTGAAAGCAAAGGTCAGGCAAATGTATCTTAATAGAGTGTCCGCGGCCGAGTGTGTCCCCTTTGAAGCGGCCTCCATCTCCATGGTGAGCACCGTCCAGCTCACACTTTCAACCCTCCAAACCCAGCTCTTTGAACAACCCGAGCTGGAGGAGACCTTTCTCCTTTCCTCCCCCCCCTTACGAACCATTTCCTTGCCTTTAGAAACTCAAGTCATCAAACCCCACCGCGGCCCCCAGATCACCGCAGAGACAAAGAGGGGCGGGGGGGGGGGGGATCCGTGGCCCCTTTTCTCCCCCTGCGGTGGTGGTTGTAGTTTGGTGGGGTTTTTTTCTCCCCTTTTTCTCTTTCTTTCTTTATCCATTTTTTTTTATTATGATGGGGAACAAGTGCCCATTCGTATGGGTTTTGTTTACCGGAAATGAAAGGAAAATGATTTAGTCCGCGTCGAACAAAAAAAAATACATATACTTGTATACACAAGGAAACCAAAAAAAGGCCCGTTAGACGTAAATATTATGTTCTTAATGAAAAGCCTGGACAGGCTCCAAGCGCTCGGCCTTTCAGGATTTCGGTGCGAGCCGGCCATTGTCATAGAGACTTTAACTTACCATGAAGATGCGCCTTGGCCAGGAAACTGAGCATTGTGTGCCGGGGCCTTTGAAGCTACAAAGGGCGGGTACCTTGCGCCCAGGGCGGGGGACATCTGTAACAAGCGAATGAAAAATTAAAAGCGATTAGGGAGAGAGTAAACATTTTTATTTCATTGTGGTATTGGGGGACTGGGGTGGAAGACAGAAAGGGGTCCCTGCCGGGGACGGGAAGAGGGAGAAAGGATTTCTGTTTGGAACACTTTAAAAAAAGAAAAAAGGTAGAAGAAGAAACAAGTTCCAAAGATACCCAGTCACCTGGGCCACGGGACTTTGCCATGAGAACAATCTGCCAGCCTGCAGCCTGGTGGTGGTCTTTGGACCCTTGTTGGAGTGTGTGTGTGTGTGTGTGAGTGTGTGTGTGTGTGTGTGTGAGTGTGTGTGTGAGTGAGTGTGGTGGGGGAGGCCATTGGTTCCCAAGGGAAGTATTTGGAAGTAATGGTAAACAGCCCCGCTGCAGTTAGTGTATTGTTGCTTGTGTTCATTTGTTTTCCATCCTCAGGCTTGAACTCACGGCCTGCCTGGGGATTTGTGCTCTACCACTTGAGCCACAGTGCCACTTTTCAGTTTTCTGGTGGTTCATTGGATGTAAAAGAGTCTCACTGACTTTCCTGCCCAGGTTGGCTTTGAACTGTGATCCTCAGATCTCAGCCTCCTGAGTAGCTAGGATGACAGGCGTGAGCCACCAGGGCCAGCGTTTGGGTGCTGGGCTTAGGGTGTTTCTTATCTGATGGAAGTTTCAGGAAACTGAAGAGCAGGGCTGAGAATTACCTGGTGGATTTTGAAGAGAAGACAGTGTTTCATTGTGGCTGGGCCAGGCCTTCTTTGTCAATCAATCAATCTATCTATCCATCCATCCACCCATCCATCTATCCGTGCATCCGTCCTTCTATCTATCCATCCGTGCATCCACCCATTTGCTCAGTTCCCATATATGTCGCAGATAACATGTCATAGATACAGAACATCTCTGTCTATAGATAAATACGTTTTGAAGTGCCGGGCTTTTGTTTCCAGGCTTCTGCTCCTTTTTGCAAGTGCTCCACTACTCAGCCAGGCCCTCAGCCTGGGCTCTGTCCAGGAGGAGATACTACTCCCCCAAACCTATACTGACTCCCATATTCTTTTTTGTTGGTCCGGTTGTGGGGCCTGAACTCTGGGCCTGGGCGCTGTCCCTCAGCTCTTCAGCTCAAGGCTAGCGCTCTACCACTTGAGCTACAGCGCCACTTCTGGCTTTTTGCTTTTTTCCTATGTGGTGCTGAGGAATCGAACCCAGGGCATCAGGCATGCTCTACCACTGAGCCACCTTCCCAGCCCCTGACTCCCACATTCTTAGGGGCTTCCCTCCCCCCATTTCCTTCCATCTATTTCCTCCTTCACCCTCAGCTGGGATTGAGGAGCAGCCCTGTCCTCTCTGCAGCCACCAGCGAAGGTGCACCATCTCCCCGCTTCACCCTCTTTGAGACAGCTCTAGAGGCCTTCTTCTCCCCCATCTGTTTGGTGGTGTTTTGGTTTGGGGGGGGAGGAGGAGCTTTGGATAGATTCAATGTAGACCCACTGAGTGCCCGCCCGTCTTTACAGTACTCATCATTATGATTCATTTCTCCAATCCTCTGCCTTCTATAAAAGCAGAGACACTGATTCCCATGCGGTACCGTTCACTCACCCAGGTCACCTAAGTCAGGGCCCTGGAACACACACAGGGCTCCACACAGTGACATCATCAGTCAGCACCAATCCCAACCCAAGCTCCCAGAGGTGGGGGGAGGAGGGGGGGGAGGGACTGTCCCCCTCCCCCACCACACACACTAGTACTTGTTGAGTCTTGAGGCTTCCCTTCCACTCTTTCTTGTTTCCCCTGGGTTTTGACTCACGTCAGGTGTACAACGTCTGCTGGTGACCAGCTAGAGGGGTGGATGGACATCTCAGGGTAGGAGCTACGCGCCCCTCCCCCCATGTGTGCCCCGCACCCCAGGGAAGAGATGACGCCCCCCCCCATGTACTTTCAGAGGTAGTTGGAAAACTTAGGGGAAACTTAGGACTTTTTTAAGTTAGCAGGAAGAGGGAAGGACAGGTGGGCACAGAGGAAAGAAGGAGGGAGTCTGCGTGTCTCTCCTAGGCCTGAACTCCTGCAGGAACTTCTGGAAGGATGGAAGAGGAGAGAAGGCGGGGACCTGGAGAGGCTCTGGGGCTGACCTCTCCAAAAACAACACCTGTCATCCTAGCCACCGCGGAGGCTGAGAGCTGAGGCTCATGGTTCAAAGCCAGCCATGGGTAGGAAAGTTGGGGAGACTCTTATCTCCCATGAACCACCAGAAAAACCAGAAGTGGTGCGGTGGCTCAAGAGGTAGAGCGCTCACCTTGTGCAAAGACAGTGAAGAACAGCGCCCAGACCCTGAGTTCAAGCCTCAGGACCAGCAAGAGGGAGACAGAGAGAGGGAAGGAAGGAGGGAGGGAGGAAGGAGGGAGGGAGGGGGGAAGGAAGGACTTTGCATGTTGCAAGACCACGCGGATGTGGGTCCTCATTTTGTCTGTCTGCGGTCCTGCTTGCTTGGGGACCTGCAGAATCCCTCCTTCCTTCCTTCCCGCCGCTGCAGGCCTCCGCGCCCGGGGCTGCCGCACCCGGCACACCTCGGTCTTCTAGGCAGCCTGGCCTACACTGCCTGGGCAGCGCCAGGCCTGGGCGCGGGGTGCTGGGAAGGTCGGGGGCCCAGTCCCCCCTCCCCGCGCGCACACACACGTACCATTCGCTGGGGTCGGGGCCCCGCAAGGCCCTGGCGGCGGCGGGGTCGGCGGCGGGGTCGGAGGAGCAGGAGGAGGAGCAGGAGCAGGAGCAGGAGGAGGGCGGCGGGCGGGCGGCCGGGGCGGCGGGGTCGCGGCCGTGCACCTTCATGTGCTTGCGCAGCGAGCTGGGGTGCGTGTAGGACTTGTCGCAGCCCCGCACCTTGCACAGGTACGGCTTGTCGCTCGTGTGCACGTGCGAGTGCTTCTTGCGGTCGCTGCTGTTGGCGAAGCGCCGCTCGCAGCCCTCGAACTCGCAGCGGAAGGGCTTCTCGCCTGGGGGGCAGGGGGGAGGGGAGAGGAGGGGGAACAAGGCAGAGACATCAGTGTGC